TTACAGTCGACAAAAAAAAACAAGTTTGACGATGTGCATATGTGAAGCTAGCAATGTATTCAGACACTTGAATTAAAAAACAATCGATTAGACTCCGAATACTTGACAAGTGTCGAAAGACATGTTGACTTAGTACGCTCGGAGAGACAAAGTGTATTAATTAGGCTTTTGCCCAAAATCTTACTTAGATGGGTCTAAGTGTACCGAGATGTATAGTATACAAACCAATGTAGATTGGCTTAAATAATAATGCCATGTTATTATTATAACACAAACCATTTAACCCAAAATGGCAATAAAAGAAAAAATTGACAGTGATTAGTAAGAGTATTAGGTAGAACATTCAACGCTTCAACTTGCATTGACTTTTCCTCCATTCGTACAGTGTGATGTAGACTCTCTTATAAACGAAGGATAAGTTTTACCCTGATGTTGCCCTCCTCTATGTGCATTTACAGATCAGCTTGCTCCTTGTGTGGATAGATAGGCTATATATCGGCGTACGCACCACTTCCTGGCATACTTACACTAACGAATGTGTGAACATCTATGTATTCCAGCAGGGTTTACAAAGGGTCAGTCAAAAACAATACGCAGTTCTTTCTTAGCACACCTGGTAGATAGTGGTCGCATTGTAGATAAATTTTGATCTTTTCGGGTTGATCTACGTATACCTCATCATTTCCCAACGGAGTTCGATCCCGTCTCCTACACACTGCAGAAGCTCAGTAGGAATTCCGCCACATTCAAAGCCCAATTGAACAAGAGTCTTTAATAGAAATCAACCCTTGCGAATTGTTTTTTGAAATACTCACAATTTCTGAAAAAAAAAATCATGTTTTATTTGACATATTTAACCTTGTACAGTGTATATAAAATTAGTCACTTTAAAATTCAATACAAGACTCGGTGGTTTGTATTTATCGTGCTCGTGAGAATTGTGGATTCGCATGTTGTGGTTGGTTGTACTAAGTACGAAAGGACCATTCAATATCTCCACGCTTTCAATTGTGATTTAACTTGTGACAGTTCATGATTTCAGATGAACTCACTATATTAAGGTTGGTGTTAATTTTTAAGGTATATTAATATATATTAAATAGTTTTATTCAATGGTTCAAATGT